CTAATTTTTGTATTTGTAATAGAGAAGGGGTTTTGCTATGTTGGCCGGGCTGGTCTCGAACTCCTGACCTCAGGTGATCCACCTACCTTGGCCTCCCAAAGTGCTAGGATTATGAGCATGAGCCACTGCACCGGGCCCCCGAGCAAGTTACTTAACATCTCTGTTCTCATCTGTAAAACCAGGAAGACAGTAATGCCTATCCCTTGTAGTTTTATGAGGAATAAATAAGAGTCTGCCTATAGCACTTAGGATGTTGGGAGGATGGTTTAACATGTCATCCAGGCTAGGCCACAGTAACCAGTTATTTAATCAAATGCTAGCCTAGGTGTGGCTGTGAAGGTATTTTGTAGATGTGGTTGACGGCTACAATTAGTTGACTTCAAGAAGATTATTCTCAGTGATGTGGGTGGGCCTCATCTACTCAGTTGAAAGCTTTAAGGGCAAAACAGTTTGTAGAGAAGAAATTCTGCCCCCAGACTGGAGCATCAAATCCTGTCTCAGGAACGCATTACCATGCCCAGCTAATTTTTTACAAAAACTTTTTGTAGAGATGGGGTCTTGCTATGTTGCCCAAGCTGGTCTTGAATTCCTGGGGTCAAGTGATCTTCCTGCCTCAGCCTCCCAAAGTGCTGGGATTACAGGTGCAAGCCACTGCACCCAGCCCTCTCCATAGAAATTAGCCCAGTCGGGGATGAACTTACCTGTCTATTCTCCATCTCGTCCTCTAGACTGTGAGTCCTCCAGGCAGGCACCTGGTCTGTCATTTCCCCTGTGTCACCCCTACCCCCAGCCTGCTATTAGGAGAGTTATTATTTCATGCTAATGACTCAAGACATCCTAAATGGATGGATGGCTGGGTGGATGGATAGAGGGTGGGCGTATCAGTCCATTCTTGCATTGCTATAAAGAAGTACCCAAGGTTGGATAATTTATAAAGAAAAGAGGTTTAATTGGCTCACAGCTCTGGATGCTGTATAGGAAGCATGGTGCTGGCATCTGCTTCTGGTGGGGCCTCAGGAAGCTTCCAATCATGATGGAAGGTGAAGGGAGAGCAGGTACATCACTTGTCGGGAAGAGGAGAAGAGAGCGAGGGGGACGGTGCCACACACTTCTAAACAACTGTATCTCACATAAACTCAGAGCAAGCACTCACTCATCACCAAGAGGATGACGCTAAGCCATTCAGGAGGGATCCGTCCCCCTGATCCAATCACCTCCCACCAGGCCCCACCTCCAACACTGGGGATTACGTTTCTTTTTCTTTTAATTTAATTTAATTTTAAGTTCTGGGATACATGTGCAGGACGTGCAGATTTGTTACACAGGTAAACGTGTGCCATGGTGGTTTGCTGCACCTATCAACCCATCACCTAGGTATTAAGCCCTGCATGCATTAGCTATTTATCCTGGTGCTCTTCTTCTTCCCACCCCTACCCAACAGGCCCCAGTGTGTGCTGTTCCCCTCCCTGTGTTCATGCGTTCTCATCATTCAGCTCCCACTTATAAGTAAGAACATGTGGTGTTTGGTTTTCTGTTCCTGCATTGGTTTGCTGAGGATAATGGCTTCCAGCTCCACCCACGTCCCTGCAAAGGACATGATCTTGTTCCTTTTTCTGGCTGCACAGTATTCCATGGTGTATATGTACCACATTTTCTTTATCCAGTCTATCATTGATGGGCATTTGGGTTGATTCCATGTCTTTGCTATTGTGAATAGTGCTGCAGTGAACATACACGTGCCTGTATCTTTCTAACAGAACGATTTCTATTCCTTTGGGCATATACCCAGTAATGGGATGGCTGGGTCAAATGGTATTTCTGGATCTAGATCCTTGAGGAATTGCCACACTGTCTTCTACAATGGTTGAACTAATTTACATTGGGGGATTACATTTCAACATGCGATTTGGAAGGGAGCAAGCATCCAAACTGTACCAGTGGGACATCTGGTCATGTCCCCTGTAGGACTGGCCCACAGGGGTGGGGAAGAGCAAGAGGAGAGAGAAGGTTGGTGGCACTTACTGTTGATGATACTTATCACACTAGGCACGGTACCTTTACTTTCAGGGTCCTCATCGGGCTGCTCCTGCTTTTCCAGGAAGGTCCTGGTCCAATTCTCGAGCATCTCAGTCAGCCAGTTGTAATTAGGCTCACCGCCTTCATCTACGTCAAGAAACCCAGGTGGTCTCAGATGCTGTCTAAGTACCCTGCCAAGAACACCACAGACCCTGTTACGCCTCACCTTCTGTAATGCCCTGCAGTTCCTCCCGAGGTGACCTCCTTCTCCAGGTGACCCTCTCTCCCCTTGCCTTCTGCTGACCTCCATGTTACCTTGCTCTCTCTGACTTTCTGGCCTCTTTATTCTAGCTCCTTCACCTCTGCCTCCACCTCTACTCATCTTTTACATGCTCATCTTATTCAGGGTTTGAGGCAAAGTCTTCTCCTCTTTATTTATTTATTTATTTGAGACAGAGTCTTGCTCTATTGCCCAGGCTGGAGTGCAATGGGGTAATCTCAGCTCACTGCAACCTCTGCCTCCCAGTTTCAAGCGAATCCCCTGGCTCAGCCTCTGGAGTATCTCGGACTATAGACGTGCACCACCACCAGGCACAGCTAATTTTTGTACTTGTAGTACAGACAGGGTTTCACCATTTTGGCCAGGCTGGTCTCGAACTCCTGACCTCAAGTGATCCACCCGCCTTGGCCTCCCAAAGTGCTGGGATTACAGGCATTGAGCTACCATGCCTGGTACCCCCCCTTTTATTTTTATCCATACTCATGAATTAGATGATGCTCAACTCTCTCTCTCTCACACACACACACTGATAATAGCTCTGCTCACATTTGCTGAGAACATCACCTGCCAGGCTTATCTTGGAGCATTTTGCATAAATTCTGCCCTTCAATCTTCACCACATTCCTTGGAGTGAGCTCTCTGAGGCTTCTTTTATAGGGGATTAATCCGAATCAAGAGGGCTCTACCCCATGCTCTCAACACCTCCCAAAGGCCCCATCTCTTAATACCATCACCTTGGGGTTGATATTTCTTTGTTGTTTTTGTTGTTGTTGAGACAGATTTTCACTCTGTCGCCCAGGCTGGAGTGCAGTGGCACAGTCACCAGCCTACCATCCCATAACGTTCGTTAGCCATTTGTAGGTTGGAGATAGATTCTCCTTCCAGACTTGTCTATAACCAGCATATGGTGAATGCTGATGTCAAAAAACAATATTAAAGCGTGTCATGTGGCAAGAAGTTGGCTCTCTGCAACCCAGAAGCGGGTTCCCAGGAATCCAACCCTACTGGTACTCTGATCTTGGACTTCCAGCCTCCAGAACTGAGAAATAAATCTCTGTTGTGGCTAAGCCAGCCAGCCTATGTATGGCACTTTGCTCTAGCAGCCTTCACAACTAAAACAGGGAGCGAGGCATGAAGTGGATGCAGGGCTGTGCTCAGGACCTACCTTCACTCCATACCTGACTGTTGGCCTGTGAAAAAGCAAGAGTACCCTGCTGTGTTCACCACAGTTGCATCTTCCACAAATGGAAGGGAGATCACCTTTGTCAGCCTCTGCTGTAGTTAGGCTGGGGCCATGTGACTGATCCTGGCCAACAGGAGGTGTGTGGAGCTGGTGCCCGCTACTTCCAGGCCTGGCTACAAAAGGCCGCCTGTGGCTCTCCAGCTCTCTCCTCTCATAGAACAGACAAGGAGACCTTGTGCCAAGAGGAGAAGCAATGAGATTCAAGCAGCTTGGCCCAGCGTGGTGGCTCATGCCTGTAATCCCAGCACTTTGGGAGGCCCAGGCAGGCAGATCACTTGAGGTCAGGAGTTCGAGAGCAGCCCGGGTAACATAGTGAAAACTCGTCTCTACTAAAAATACAAAAATTAGCCAGGTGTGATGGCAGGTGCCTGTAATCCCAGCTATTTGGGAGGTTGGGGCAGGAGAAAAGCTTGAACCTGGGAGGCAGAGGTTGCAGCGAGCCGAGATAGTGCCACTGCACTCCAGCCTGGGCAACAGAGCTAGACTCTGTCTTTAAAAAAAGAAAAAAAAAAACAAAAAACAAAAACAAAATCAGAAAAGAAAGAAAAAAGAGATGCAAGCAGCTTGGATGCCTAAGTCCCCACATGGAGCCAAGGTGCCCTGTAGGAACACTCAACCCATATTGCTTTTTGGGTGAGCAAAATACAAACCCTTTGTGTCTTAAGTCATAGCAATTTGTGGTTTCTTTGTGCAGTACAGTGTCTCCTGAACAAATATAGTCTCCTCCATAATATAATCTAACTTCTCCATACAGAATTCATCTGATACTTTGTTCTTATTCTCCATACTCCCACCATGGGTCAAGTCTGGCTCCTTCAAGACTCTCAGCCCATGTAGTTTTGGGAAGTATTTTTCCTCTCAATTTGCTAATTGCCTCAGGCTGTTCCCATTTTCTGCTTCTGACACTTGGATCCTAGGCATACCTAGGGTATATCTATGCACATGGTTACAGTGCATAGATATACCTTACATGCATATGGTTACAGTGTGTCAGTTTGAACTCTGATCCTGCTTCCACCTGGCTGCATGGCCTTGGGCACCTGTGAGAGTCCATGTTCCTCTCCATTCCCAAAGGAGCACTACATGAATCAGACACGTGCAGTTTTTAGGACAATGGCTGGCTTCAAGCCAGTGTGCAGTCTACACTATCATTAGGGATTCATGACAAAGTAGGATGCTTACCTTTCAGGGCAGGACGTTCCCTTTGCAAACTTTGTTGCAGCCTCAGTAACGGGGCTGCAAAAGAACAGAGGCAGGGGGGATGTTTAACTGTACAGTAAAGTCACCAGTTATAGAAAATACAGATTACCTGCAGGGACATCTCTTTAGTAGAAATGGCAGCCATGGGTTGCAGTCTGTTGATAAGGGCTCTGGAGAGCTAATTTTGTACCCGTCTTCCAACTCTGTGCTCAGTGACCTCGTGCTGGTAGCTTGAAATCTGCCATGATGTGATCAAGTGGGTTTCATACCAGTAATGCAAGGATGGCTTAACATACGCAAGTCAACAAATGCGATACATCACAGAAACAGAATTAAAAACAAAAATCATAGGAGATGCAGAAGCATTTCACAAAATTCCGCATCCCTTTATGATTAAAACCCTCAACAAAATCGGTATACAAGAGACATACTTCAATGTAATAAAAGCCATCTATGACAGACCCCACAGCCAACATTACACTGAATGGGGAAAAGTTTAAAGCATTCCCCCTGAGAACTGGAACAAGACAAGGATGCCCACTTTTACCACTTGTATTCAACATAGTACTGGAAGTCCTAGTCAGAGCCATCAGACAAGAGAAAGAAATGAAGGGCATCTAAACTGGTAAAGAGGAAGTCAAACTGTTACTGTTCACTGATGATATGATTGTACACCTAGAAAACCCTAAAGACTCATCCAAAAAGCTCCTAGATCTGATGAATGAATTCAGTAGAGTTTCAGGATACCGAATCAATGTACACAAATCAGTAGCAGTGCTACGTACACCAACAATGACCAAGCTGAGATTCAAATCAAGAGCTCAACCTCTTTTACAACAGCTGCAAAAAAAAAAATCAAATAAAATACTCAGGAAGATACCTAACCAAGGAGGTGAAAGACCGCTACAAGGAAAACTACAAAACACTGCTGAAAGAAATCATAGACAACACAAACAAATGGAAACACATCCCATGCTCATGGATGGGTAGAATCAATATTGTGAAAATGACCATATTGCCAAAAGCAATCTACAAATTCAATGTAATTCCCATCAAAATGCTATCATTTTTCACAGAACTAAAAAATCCTAAAATTCTTTTTTTTTTTTTTTTTTTTGAGACATAGTCTCGCTCTGTCACCCAAGCTGGAGTACAATGGCCGATTTCGGCTCACTGCAACCTCTGCTTCCCAGGTTCAAGCAATTCTCCTGCCTCAGCCTCCCGAATAACTGGGATTACAGGTGCATGCACCATGCCTGACTAATTTTTGTATTTTTAGTAGAGACAGGGTTTCACCATGTTGGTCAGGCTTGTCTCAAACTCCTGACCTCAGGTGATCCACCTGCCTTGGCCTCCCAAAGTGCTGGGATTACACATGTGTGGCTACCATGCCCAGCCACAATCCTAAAATTCATATGAACCAAAAAAGAGCCCGCATAGCCAAAGCAAGACTAAGCAAAAAGAACAAATCTGGAGGCATCACATTACCCAATCAAATTATACTACAAGCCTATAGTTACCAAAAGAGCATGGTACTGGTATAAAAGTAGGCATGTAGAACAATGGAACAGAATAGAGAACCCAGAAATAAAGCCAAATACTTACAGCCAACTGATCTTCGACAAAGCAAACAAAAATATAAAGTGGAGGAAGGGACACCTTATTCAACAAACGGTGCAGGGATAACTGGCAAGCCACATGTAGAAGAATGAAGTTGGATCCTTATTTCTCACCTTATACAAAAATCAGCTCACAAATTCAATGTGAATTTGCATCAAAGACTTAAATATGAGACCAGAAGTCATATAAATTCTAGAAGATAACATCAGAAAAACTCTTCTAGACGTTGACTTAGGCAATGAGTTCACAACCAAAAGCCCAAAAGCAAATGCAACAAAAACAAAAGTAAACATACGGATGTATGGGAACAGGCATGGTAGCTCACGCCTGTAATCCCAGCACTTTGGGAGGCCGAGGAGGGCAGATCACTCGAGGTCAGGAGTTCAAGACCAGCCTGGCCAACATGGTGAAACCCCATCTCTACTAAAAATACAAAAATTAGCTAGGCATGGTGGTGCATGCCTGTAGTCCCAGCTACTTGGGAGGCTGAGGCAAAAGAATCACTTGAACCTGCGAGTTGGAGGTTGCAGTGAGATTGCACCACTGCATTCCAGCTTGGATGACAGAGCAAGACTCTGCCTCAATTAAAATAAAATAAAATAGACACATGCCCATGTATGTTTATCACAGCACAATTCACAATTGAAAGATATGGAATCCACCTAAGTGCCCATTGACCAATGAGTGGATGAAGAATGTGTGGTATATAAACAGCATGGAATATGACTCAGCCATAAAAAAGAGTAAAATAATGTCTTACAGCAACTTGGATGGAGGCCATCATTCTAAGTGAAGTAACTTAGGAACGTAAAACCAAAACCACATGTTCTCACTTACAAGTGGGAGCTAAGCCATGGGTATGCAAAGGCATACGGAGTGGCACAATGGACTTCAGAGATTCAGAAAGGGGAGGGCAGGGAGGTGGGGACAAAAAACTACACACTGGGGCCAGGTGTGGTGGCTCATGCCTGTAATCCCAGCACTTTGGGAGGCCGAGGCGGGCAGATTACTTGAGCTCAGAAGTTCGAGACCAGTCTGACCAACATGGCAAAACCCCATCTCTACTAAAAATATAAAAATTAGCCAGGCATGGTGGTGCGTGCCTGTGGTCCCACCTGCTTGGGAGGCTGAGGCAGGAGAATCACTTGAACCCAAGATACAGAGGTTGTAATGAGATGAGATCCCTCCACTGCACTCCAGCCTGGGCAACAGAGCGAGACTGTCTCAAAAAACAAAACCAAAAAACTACATATTGAGTGCAACATACTCTAAAACATACACTGATGGGTGGACTACAATCTCAGAATTTACTACTACATAATTCATCATGTAACAGAAACCACTTGTACCCCCAAAAGCTATTGAAGTAAAAATTCAAAAAAACAAAAAAACTTAATATAATATTTAAAAATATTATTACCTGATAGTAGCAGAGTTAATCCCTATAATTAAAATATTGTACATGCTATAAATTTTTACTTGAGATCAAATCAAAATTCAATTTTTCCACATGTGCTGAAAATGTGATAGAAAGCTGAGTCCTGATACGTGTCGGTTAGGTCAAGCTTCTGCTTCATCTTTTTCAGATTTTTGAATAGTCAATAAATTTTGTCTGCTTTTTTTTCTTTCTCTTTTTTTCTTTCTTTCTTTTTTTCTTTTCTTTTTTTTTTTTGAGACACAGTCTCGATCTGTTGCCCAGCCTGGTGCATAGTGATGCAATCTCGGCTCACTGCAACCCCTGCCTCCCAGGTTTAAGCAATTCTCCTGCTTCAGCCACCCGACTAACTGGGACTACAGGTATGCACCACCACGCCCGGTTAATTTTTGTATTTTTAGTAGAAATGGGGTTTCACCATGTTGGCCAGGCTGGTCTCAGACTCCTGACCTCAAGTGATTCACCCACCTCAGCCTCCCAAAGTGCTGGGATTATAGGTGTGAGCCACTGTATCCTGGCCTCAAGTGATCTGCCTGCCTTAGCCTCCCAAGTGTTGGGATTATGGGTGTCAGCCACTGCATCCAGTCAGATTGCTAATGTTTACTGAGTGCCTTTATCTGCAAGGCACTGTCCTGTGTGCTTTTGATGAATTAACTCATTCATCATAACTACTATTATTATCACCCGCATGGCACAGAGGCAGAAACTGAGGCACAGAGAGGTTAAGGAACTTTTCAGAGGTCACAAAGCTCACATGTACCAAAGCAACATTCCTTCCAAGGGGGTCTGTACTCTCATCCACTCTGTGGTCATCCTGGCTGCCCAGTTACATGAGAATAAATGTCAGGAAATGCAGTTGCTAGAACAATTACATACAGGTCCCTCTTCTGCCATGAGTAGGAAAACTACTGTGAATCTCCTTGCATAAAATATCTCTAGGCTTTGACCTTGCCGTTCTGCAAATACTCACCAAAAATACGGCGTCCAACGTATTTAGCATTTGCAACAGTCCTTCTCCATACATCTCCTAAGAAAATAGTAATAAAATTCAAACATTCTCCATCATGTGACTGTCATGCTTGATATTCAAAGCACCAGCAGACTGGTATAAAGCACTGCAGGGATCTGTAGCAGGAAGAAAGATCATTTTTCCATTCCATAAATATGTATGAAGCAATTAGTGGGCACCCGGCACTCTTTTGGCTGCTGGAATAGAGCAGTAAACAAGACAGATTTGTCCTCATGAACCTTCTATGGGTGGAGCCAGCCAGACACTGTAGACTGGCTACTCCAAAGCCCATTTCAAGCTCCCTTCCATGCCAACCCTTCTCAGCCCACAGGCAGGAAGGGCAAATATTTCCCAGCCTCCCTTGCAGCTAGGGGAAGGTCAAGCTCTGGCCCATGCACTTTGCTGGGGGCACTTCTGGAAAGTCCTTGCTCTCCTACTACGAAAGAGCAGGACAGCAAACATGTTGGATTAGAGGCATTGCTGGCATACCCCTCCCACTTGGAAGGACAAAACACTGTGTAGAGATTCACACTGTGAACTTTTTTATTTTCAAGAAGTGATTCAGGAATTGGACAGGAAATCTGAAGGAATCCACCGTCCCTTTGGAGGAACTGACGGGCTGCAGCCTATACTGTGACTCAAGTGAAGGGCTGCGAGTCCCCAGCGTGTGAGACGGGGAAAGACTGCGGGATACATGCGCCCACCACACCAGGGAGCCTGAAAGTCCAGTCTCTGGGGCAAGGCCTTAACCCTATTCAGTGCAGGATATGACTTGGGGAGGTTCATGGAATATAAGTAGGAGCTGCAGGAAGAACCCTGCATATACTCCCAGATCCCAGTATGGACCCAGGGAAGCCATTCGTTACTGTTCCTCACAGGGCACCCTACAGTGGTCAGCCAAAAAGTTCAGGGGGTGGTGGCAGGTTGAAAGAAGACTGCAACTGGGTTTCACGAGATAACTGTGGGTGCAGATGAACTTCCTTGGCCAGGGCTGGGATTGGGGCATGGGGTAAGCGAAAAGCAAGCTGCAGTCATGTGTATGCAGGACGCTGGCACATGGCTGGGTGGGATAGATGGGGAGGGGCATGGCCTGAAAGCAGTGGTTGCTATCTCTGCTATCTCTGCAGGGAAAGCTTATGACTTGGAGGCATTTGCAAGTTCTGCGCGCAGGCTGCCTGGAACTTAGCTTGCCGCTGCCAGTGGAACAGGGTGGGAGGAGATCTGCCTTGCCAAGTGTGTGGGATCTGCGTGGGGCTTACTGCCACCTGCCACTCCCCACTCCTTGCACAAACTCTTCTGTGCAGCAGAGGCAGAAACACTCCTCTCTGAATTATCAGCACACTGGCCTGGAAACCAACTCCGCCCCCGATACCCAACAGGGATTGCTGCTTGCCCCGCACAGGGAGAGTTAGAGCACAAAACTGCCTGATCCGGCCCACACCTGGCTTTGCCCTGCCACCACCGTCCTGGTGGCTTAATACAAAGGACAGAAACTTTGGGGAACTCTATGGCTCTGCCCATTGCCTGAGAAACAAGAGTAGCCACCCTGGGCGACATAGGGCAAGTGAACATCCCCACTGCTACTCCTGCAGCTGGTGCTCCACCTGCTGGGTGGAGGCCAACCAACACAGTCCATGACAGCATCTCCTGGTAGGATAACACTGTCCCCAGGAAGGAGAAAACGGCTGTATGTCCTCAGCTGTCACCACTGCATGCACCACTCTGGCTAACCAGGAGGTCCTGAGTCTGTTCACGTGATCCGTTCATTACTACCGTAACTAGCATTCAAGGAAGCCAAAATACTAAGGCTACCTATAACGGGAATCTCACAGAGCTTGTGTCTCTCTCCTGCCGCCCCCATTAGAGCTGGTGCTGCTACCCACTGCTGGGAGTCTCGAGGACAGGTGACATTACCGGATTCCTTGCAGACATTCCCCAGAAACAGCCTGAAGTGTGGCAGCTTCACTGGGTGGCTAGACCCAGAGGAACAACACTCATTGTAGTCTGGTGCCCAGTGACTCCTATCCTACGGGAATGGGGAGTGCACCATGTCAAGGGAACACCCCACGGGACAAAAGAATCTGGACAGCAGGCCTTGAAAATCAGATCTTTCTGCTGGTGGGAAGTTTCTTTCAGCAGGGGCACAGTTTCAGTGCTGGGCTCAGCAGGGAAAGCCCACAGCTCTAACCCAACCATCAGACAGCCCTGGTGTGAGTGAAGGGTCTCGGAGAAGGGGATATCTTTCCCCTCTCTTCCATCGCCACAGGCACAGCTGGGGCTTCTCCCGTGGGAGCTCAGCATGGGTGCAACTGTCGACAGTCTTTCTGGAACACATCAGGGTGACGGCATCCCCGCAGGAGAAGCACCCTCTAGGTTTAGGCTTGCACAAGAGACAGATTCACAATTCCTCTCTACTTGGAACGCCAACATTCCTACAGATGAAAGAGGTGCCCGTCTGATCTGAATAGCTGGAGCACCGGATCACGAGTGTGTCTGAGAGGTGGATGGCTTTCCGGCTGACCTGGCAGGGGAGCTGAAGTGGCTCCAACCCTTCCACCTGATAAGACCTCGGTGCACAGCCAGGTGCGGTGGCTCACGCCTGTGATCCCAGCATTTTGGGAGGCCAAGTTGGGCGGATCACCTGAGGTCGGGAGTTCGAGACCAGCCTGACCAACATGGAGAAACCCCGTCTCTACTAAAAATACAAAATTAGCTGGGCGTGGTGGCAAGTGCCTGTAATCCCAGCTACTCGGGAGGCTGAGATAGGAGAATCGCTTGAACCCGTGAGGCAGAGGTTGCAGGGTGAGCTGAGATCATGCCATTGCACTCCAGCCTGGGCAACAAGAGCCAAACTCTGTCTCAAAAAAATATATATATATCAGTGCAACTCACTGAGAGCTCCTCCAGTCACCTCTGTCAAGGCTGGGACCTTTGCTCACCATTGGGTGTTGCATTTACTCACATGCTTTAGCCACAATCACCTCCTATGCAGGCACACCTCCCCTACAGACCTGAAACCTGAACCATCACACCAGCCAATAAAATACTGGGGAAAAAAATTGCATGCCATGTGGGGAAGGAGTTAAGCTTCACGAGACTTCTACCATTCCAACCCTGTAGGCAACAGTGAACTTGCTCACACAGTGAGCACACTGCTTCTACAACCAGCATATGAGAAAGCCATCACACAAAGACTCCCTATATCCAAGGAACTCTTACAGTCTTCACCCCTGAAAGCACCAAGGACCAAATTAGGCTATAATTAGCTAGGGACATTAAAGTCACATCCTTAAGCGGAAAAAAGAAAAAAAAAAAGTCAAATCAAACATAAATTCAAGAATAATTAAAAGAAATAGTCTACTCAAATGAGAAGGAACTAGAAAAGTAACTTTGGTAATATGATAAAACATGGTTCTACAGCACACCCCCAAAAGATCACATTACCTCTCCAGCAACAGATCCAAATCAAGATGAAATCTTTGAAATACCAGAAAAAGAGTTCAAATGGGCACCAAATGAATTATACATGTAATGTTCTTAGGACAATGGCTGGCCTCAAGCAAGCGTGCATTCCACATTATCATTAGGGATTCACGACGAAGTAGGATGCTTACCTCTCGGGGTCAGAAGATTCCTTAACAGGTCTGCAAAAGAGTAGAAGCAGGGGGAATGTTTAGCTGTACAACAAAGTCCCTAGTTATAACATAAAAAATACAGATGACCTGCAGGGATATTTCATTAATAGAAATGGCAGCCATGGGCTCCAATGGCAGCCAATGCCTCTCGAGAGCCAATTTTGCACCTCTCTTCCAACTCTGTGCTCAGTGACCTCATGTTGGTAGCTTGAAGTTTGGCCATGGTGGGAACATTTACACCACAGGAATTGGCAAACGCTACATATCAGGAGTTTTGTTTTTGTTTTTGAGAGAGAAAGCTTAGCAGACCCACTGGAGAAGTAACACTCAGACCCATCTCACACCTTTAGTTAGCCATTTGGAGGTTGGAGATAGATAGATTCCCTTTTTCAGTTTGTTTTTAACCAAGTTATGGTGAACACCGATGTCAAAGAACAACATCAGCCTGGGCACGGTGGTTTACACCTACAATCCCAGCACTTTGGGAGGCTGAGGCGGTGGATCACTTGAGGTCAGGAGTTCAAGACCAGCCTGGCCAACATGGTGAAACCCTGTCTCTACCAATAATACAAAAATTAGCCAGGCATGGTGGCGCACACTTGTAGTCCCAGCTACTCGGGAGGAGAGTCGCTTAAGCCTGGGAGGTGGAGGTTGCAGTGAACCGAGATCACACCACTGCACTCCAGCCTGGGCAACAGAGCAAAACTCTGTCTCAAAAAAACAAACAAACAAAAAAGTCAAAGGATAAGAACTAGTACAGTGCCTGGCATACAGGAAGTCCCATGAATATGCATTAAATGAATGGTGAGTTGTTCAGGGTGTGAACTCAATAATGATCCTAAAAATATGATTAACATAAAATGAAATACTCCCATGTGTCAGGCTTTGCTCTAAGCATTTTACATACATGAGGTCATTTAAACCCCACATCAAATATATGAGACTGGGACTGTGTACTCTTGTCTCCATTTTAGGAAGGTGAAATTGGGTCACAAAGAATTTAAGCAGCTTTCCAGAGTCAGCAATGCAGGAGAAGCAGAGCCGGAATGTGGATCCAGGCAGACAGGCTTTGGATTTGAACCACCACACTATTCCCCTAGAGATCCACCACCCAATTCTCCTATAGAATCCTGCATCTGCGCTCACTGACCAGCAGCGTGGGTGAGTCATGCATCCTTCCCATGACTTGGTGGATCTCAGCAAAATGGAGAGGACAAAAGCATCTGCCTCTTAGGGTACTGAAGGGGTTAAATTTAAATGAGGGGCCAGGCTCGGTGGCTCATGCCTGTAATCCCAGCACTTTGGGAACCCGAGGTGGGCGGATCACGAGGTCAGGAGATTGAGACCATCCTGGCTAACATGGTGAAACCCTGTCTCTACTAAAAATACAAAAAATTAGCTGGGTGTGGTGGCGGGCACCTGTAATCTCAGCTACTCAGGAGACTGAGGCAGGACAATGGCGTGAACCCGGGAGGCGGAGCTTGCAGTGAGCCAAGTTAGTGCCACTGCAGTCCTGCCTGGGCGAAAGAGCGAGACTCCGTCTCAAAAAAAAAAAAAAAAAGACCAGGTAATGATTGCTAATGTTTACTGAGTACCATTACCTACCAGGCACTGTCCTATGAGCTTTCAATGAATTAACTCATCAAATATTCATAACTACTATTTTTTTTTTTTTTGAGATGGAGTCTTGCACTGTTGCCCAGGCTGGAGTGCAGTGGTGCAATCTCCACTCACTGCAAGCTCCGCCTCCCAGGTTCACGCCATTCTCCTGCCTCAGCCTCCCACGTAGCTGGGACTACAGGCACCCAACACCAAAACCGGCTAATTTTTGTATCTTTAGTAGAGATGGGGTTTCACCGTGTTAGCCAGGGTGGTCTCGATCTCCTGACCTCATGATCTGCCTGTCTCGGCCTCCCAAAGTGCTGGGATTACAGGCGTGAGCCACCGCGCCCAGCCCATAACTACTATTATTATCACCCGCATGGCACAGAGGCAGAAACTGAGGCACAGAGGGGTTAAGGAACTTTTCAGAGGTCAAAAAGCTCACATGTACCAAAGCAACATTCCTTCCAAGGGGGTCTGTACTCTCATCCACTCTGTGGTCATCCTGGCTGCCCAATTATATGAGAATAAATGTCAGGAAATGCAGTTGCTAGAACAATTACATACAGGTCTCTCTTCTGCCATGAGTAGGAAAAGTACTGTGAATCTCCTTGCACAAAATATCTCTAGGCTTTGACCTTTCTGTTCCCCAAATACTCACCAAAAATATAATTCCTATTGACTTCAGCGTTACCAAGAGCACTTCCCCATAAACCTGCCAAGAAAAGAGCAATAAAATTCAAACATTCTCCCTCACGTGACTGTCATGCTTGATATTCAAAGCACCAGCAGACTGGTATAAAGCACTGCAGGGATCTGTAGCAGGAAGAAAGATCATTTTTCCATTCCATAAATATGTATGAAGCAATTAGTGGGCACCCGGCACTCTTCTGGCTGCTGGAATAGAGCAATAAACAAGACAGATAAGGTCCTTGTCCTTGCGAACCTTCTATGGGCAGAGCCAGCCAGGCGCTGTAGACTGACTACCCCAAGGCCATTTCAAGCTTCCTTCCATGCCAACCCTTCTCAGTCTACAGGCAGGAAGGGCAAATATTTCCCAGCCTCCCTTGCAGCTAGGGGGAGGTCAAGCTGTGGTCCATGCACATTGCTGGGGGAACTTCTGCAAAGTGCTTGTTGTCCTTCTCAGAAGGAGCAGGCCAGGCATGGTGGCATGCAACTCTAGTCTCAGCTACTTGGGAGGCTGAGGCAGGAAGATTGCTTGAGGCCAGGAGTTCGAGACCTGTACTGGGCTATGATTGTGCTTCTGCACTGCAGCCTGAGTGACAGAGAGAGACCCTGACTTAAAAAAAAAAAAAAAAAAAAGGTTGCCGCTTCATTGGATGCAGCAGCCATCCTGTGGTGTGGAGGAGTTCAGCATGAGGGTGACTGTTAATATGCTAAGGATGGAGGAGCAGAAACCCAGAATAAACCTAGGTCCTTCTGCTTAATGTTCCACAGCTAAACCAATGTCACCCAGTCACCTATCTTTGCATTATTTATGTATTTATTTTGAGATGGGGTCTTGCTCTGTGGCCCAGGCTGGAGTGCAGTGATGTGATCTCGGTTCAATGCAACCTCTGCCTCCCAGATTCAAGTGATTCTCCTGCTTCAGCCTCCTGAGTAACTGGGATTACAGGTATGCGCCACCACGCCCTGGTAATTTTTGTGTTTTTTTAGTAGAGATGGGGTTTCACCATGTTGGCCCAACTGGTCTCGAACTCCTGACCTCAAGTGATCTGCCCGCCTCAGTCTCCCATAGTGCTGGGATTTCAGGTGTGAGTCACGGTGCCCGGCCTGTCTTTTTCTTTTGTAAGAAAATTAATCCCACATTTCCTCAGGGCACTGTGGTTGGTTAGTGACTTTTAGCCAAACATATTTGTATAGATACAGGGAGACATAAAAAATGAATAATCAGCCAGGGCCAGGCACGTTGGCTCACGCCTGTAATGCCAGCATTTTGGGAGACTGAGGTGGGTGGATGAATTGAAGTCAGGAGTTTAAAATCAGCCTGGCCAACATGGTGAATCCCTATCTCTACTAAAAATACAAAAATTAGCTGGGCCTGGTAGTGTGTACCTATAGTCCCAGCTACTTGGGAGGCTGAGGCAGGAGAATCACTTGAACTCGGGAGGTTGCAGTGAGCAGAAATTGCACCACTGCACTCCAGCCTGGGTGACAGAGTGAGACTCCATCTCAAAAAAAAAAAAAGAAAGAAGAAGAAAACTCAAAGACACTATAGACACACCCATTGGGTTGGCCGGTATCCAAAAAACCCCAGAAAACAGTAAGTGTTGATGAGGACGTGGAGAAATTGGAACCCTGGTGCACCATTGGGCAGAATATAAAATGGTATAGCCACTGTGGAAAATGGTATGGTCGTTCCTCAAATTTTTTTTTTTTTTTTTTTTTTGAGATGGCCCAGGCTGGAGTGCAATGGCACGATCTTGGCTCACTGCAACCTCCGCCTCCCAGGATCAAGCAATTCTCCTGCCTCAGCCTCCCGAGTAGCTGGAATTATAGGCAGGTGTCACCACACCCAGCTAATTTTGTATTTTTAGTAGAGATGGGGTTTCACCATGTTGGTCAGGCTGGTCTCAAACCCCCGACCTCAGGTGATCCTCCTCCCTCGGCCTCCCAAAGTGCTGGGATTACAGGCATGAGCCACCAGGCCCGGCCTCAAAATTTTAAAAATAGAATTACCACATACATGATCCAGCAATTCTACCTCTGAATATATACCCAAAAGAATTGAAAGCAAGGTCTCAAAAAGATATTCACAGACCCATGTGCATGGCAGCTTCCTTCACAACAGCCAAAAGATGAAAGCAATCCATGTGTCCATCGATGGATGAATTGATAAGCAAAATGTGGTATATTCGTACAATGGAATATGATTCATCCATAAAAAGGAAGGAATTCGAACACATGGTACAATATGGATGAACTTCAAAGTCATTTTCCTCAGTGAAATCAGACAGACACAAAAAGACAAAGTACATGATTCCATTTACATGTCATACTCAGAGTAGTCAAACTCATAGAGGCAGAAGGTAGTATTGTGGTTGTCAGGGGCTAAGAGAGGGGGTGACAGGGAGTTAAGTGTTCAATGGGCATAGAGTTCTAGTTTTACAAGATGAAAAGGGTTATGGAGATGGATGGTGGTGATGGTTGCACAACATTATGGATGTATTGTATTTATACCACTGTACTCGACACTTTAAAATTGTTAAAATGGCAAAATTTATGCTATATGTATTTTGTAATAATAAATAAAAAGCACCCGGGTGTGTGAGGGGGGGATAAGAGACATGTACAGAACCACTTCAGTAGGTGATACATACACCCAAGGAAATAATAATGTTACAAGGAGCACGTGGGAGTGACAATTTCAGAATATCTGATGCCCAAGACCAGATTTAGCAAAAAGATGGCGGGGATAGGAGACAGGAGCCAGGCTTGGCAATATGAAGGACCCCTTCTGTTCAGACAAGAGAAAGGGGGAAGATCCCCTTCATCCTACCTCATTCTTCTCCCTGAGAACACCCCTCCATCTACCAGGTTGCCGGAGCTGGAACCTTTAATGTCATCTCTGATTCTCCTTACTCTCCACATCCAATCCAGGTGTAATTCTTCTTCATCCATCTCCAAGTTTCCAGAGTCCATCCACTTCCCTCCCATATCCACTCTGGTACCCAACCTTAAACTGCCATTATCTGTCACCAGGACCATTAGTTTCTCAACTGCTCCCAACTTCTAAGTTTGCACACCCACCCCTAATCCATGCTGAGAGAGAGATCGATCTTTTCCAATATAAACTGAATCAGGTCACCACCCTAATTAAACTGCCTCCCTGGCTCTCCGATCACACTTGGAATACAAACTAAACTTCATCTGTGTCCCTCAGGGTCCCATATGATCTGGACCTTGCCTACCTCTCCAGCCCTCTCTCACAGCCTCATTCAGGAGGCTCCAACCTCACTGGTCTTCTCATTGGTTCTAGAGTAAGACAAGCATGGTCCTGGCTTAGGGTCTGATATGGTTAAGTTTTATGTCTCCACCCAAATCTCTCGAGTTGTAATCCCCAGGTGTTGAGGGAGAGACTTTGTGGGAGGTAACTGGATCATGGGGGCAGTTCCCCCCATGCTGCACTCATGATAGTGAGTGAGTTCTCACAAGATCTGATGGTTTTATAAGTGTTGGGTAGTTTTTCTTTGGCTTGCTCTTCTCTCTTCTGCCACCATGTGAAGAAGGTTCTTGCTTCCCCTTTGCCTTTTGCCATGATTGTAAGTTTCCTGAGGTCTCCCCAGCCATGTGAAACTGTGAGTCAATTAAACCTTCTTTGTCTACAAATTACCCAGTCTCGGGTAGTATCTTTATAACAGTATGAAAATGGACTAATACAAGGTCTCTGTATTTGCTCTTCCCTCTGTCCATGTGCTTTTCCCCTAAGATATCTGCATGGCTTCACTTTTCATCAGGTCCACACTCAAAGGCCATCTTCTGTCAGAAGCTCAACCACCAATTAAAAATAATACTGTGGTCACTCTCCAGCCCCTTATCATGAATTATTTTTCAAGATAGCATTTACTATGATCTGACATTATAATATATATTTATTTTTGTGTGTGTTCATTCATCATCTCCTTCCCTGGAGTGCAAACTTCATTAGGGAATGAGCCTTCACTGTCCTGCTCATGACTGAATCCCCTGCATTTAAAATAGTATCAGGGTACCAGCGTGTCTCAAAAGTGTATGCTAAAATCATGGCGATTCAACCATCCTTGAATTACTACCATGTGCTGGGCACTGGGCTGAGTGTTTATTTGTGGATTATGCCTAACTCTCATACCCACATTTTGAGATAAGTACTTTCCCTATGAGAAAACCGAGGCTCAGGTAACATAAATGACTTTCTCAAGCTGGCATTATTTGTCCCGTGTAGGGGAGCTGTCTGCCTAGCAGGGTAATGCCTTCAGACCCTGAGTTCTCAGAAGATTATGAAGCCACAACTAAAAGTGATACCAGTGTGTAAGCTATAGTCAAGGACATTTAATCAAGTTCTGATTTTACTCACTATCACTGTTTTGATTGTTTTTGGTTTTTGTTGTAATTTTTTCTGGAAATACCCTGTTTTAAAAAAATTGTATGCCCCTTGCTTTGCTGGTGCCCAAAACACATTCTAGTTTTTTTTGTTGCTGTTTGTTTGTTTTGAGACAGGATCTTTCTCTGTCATCCAGGCTGGAGGGCAGTGGTGGATCATAACTCACTGCAGCCTTGAACTCCCAGGCTGAAGTGATCCTTCCACTGCCTCAGCCTCCTGAGTAGCTGGGACCCATAGGCACATGCCACCATGCCTGGCTAATTTTTAAGTTTTTGTAGAGACACAGTGTTGCTATGTTTCCCAGGTTGGTCTCAAACTCCCAGTCTCAAGGGATCCTCCCATATCAGCCTCCCAAAGCACCATGTCATCCCAAACACATTCTGAATCTGCTTATTGGAAGCCACAGCCCTGGACTTGAGCCCCTCTATTAAGCTCTCTCTCCAGGATTGTTTGATAGGATATCATGTATCTGACACATTAAGGAGACCTTTGAGAGACACTGAAGACTCAGCAGGAGGAACACACCATTCCTCTTTCTGGAAGCATACCAAGTCCTTTTCTTTCCCCTCAGAAATGTAAGAGCTGGGCAAAGCTAGACCCTCTTACCTCTCCTCCACTTCCCACCCCCATTTAATCCCCTCTGACCCCAGTACTGACCTCTCAGGAAAGACAGGTCTCTCTCAGGGTGAGTTCTGACCAGTCTTCCCTTCTTGAATTTGCTTCCGAAGTGGGTTATGGAAACATAGGCCCCCAGTGCAGGGAAGCCAGCATGGTGAGGGGTGAACTCGAACCAGGTCTCTGCAGAGGAAATATAAGGGCAAGTGAGTCCCAGCACAGAACTTGGAACGTAGCAGGTGTGCAGGAAAAGAAAATCTATTAATGAGGAATTACAACCATGCCAGGAGAATGTCAGAGATGGACCGTGTGGTGTCAGAAACCACTGGGGATCTCATCCTCAGACCTGAGTCTTTACACTGCTGGTGGCAGCTCATAACTTCCACAGCAGCCTGTTTCCAGTATTTTCCAGAGCTTGAACCCTCAGCCCTGCCTCTCTCTTCCGTCTCATTGTGGCTACAACTCCATGGAACCCTGGAGTGCAAAGGAAGAGTGTAGCCACGAGATTGCATGGAGGTTTGTCTGTGGGCATAAATCTAATGCATGATTCCAATGTGAGTCATTAGAATATTCCAGGCAAGAAAATGACATGATCAGATTTTCATCCTGGAAACTTCCATTAGGTAGCCAGGGAAGGAGGTGGACAGCTTGGGATGGGCGGGCCAGTGAGGAACTAATTACAAGAGTCTCCCAGGAGACTGGGAGACCTGGTCTGGGGGTGATGTAGAAGAGCACAAAGGATGAAAATGAGGAGGGGGTGATTTCTAGGGCTGGGAAGGACTGAATTTGTGGGGCCTATGGAATGGATGGAGTCAGCTCTATCTGCTCTGGTGAGAAAACAGCACAAGGAAACACAATGAGGAGAGAGATAAAACATTCACGGCTGGGCGCGGTGACTCACGCCTATAATCCCAGCACTTTGGGAGCCCCAGGCGGGTGGATCACCTAAGGTCAGGAGTTTGAAACCAGTCTGACTGACATGGTGAGACCCTGTGTCTACTAAAAATACAAAACTTAGCCAGGTGTGGTGGCGCATGCCTACAAACCCAGCTACTTGGGAGGTTGAGGCAGGAGAATCACTTGAACCCGGGAGGCATAGGTTGCTGTAAGCTGAGATCGCGCCATTACACTCCAGCCTGGGCAACAAGAGCAAAACTCTGTCTCAAACAAACAAACAAACACCATTCACACTGAGGGCTTCTGAGCCTTGAGATGCCGGGAGATGTCCAACCACTGGTAACTGGTAACATTGCCTGATATATCGTGAGAAGCCAGGACACAGTTGCTGAACAAGTAAGTGCACAAGTAAGTGTTTAGGAAATAGGGTAAGGAGGTGTGGATCTCAGGAGAGAGATGAGCTCAAAAGAGAAACTGGAATGACTGGAGAGCTGCCAGCATTTAGGTGACAATTGGACCTATGGAGAAGGAAGACATCTAAAAAGTGACAGATGGCTGGGAGCCGTGGTTCACGCCTGTAATCCCAGCACTTTGGGAGGCTGAGGCAGGTGGATCACCTGAGGTCAGGAGTTCGAGACCAGCCTGACCAACATGGAGAAAC